CAAAAAAAGAACAAAGAAAACATACAGCCAAACTAACAGAATTACATAAAAATGCTTCAGAAGTCTTATTATTTCAGTTCTTGAGAAGTAAAGAAGCAAAGTCAGTATATATCCTACCAAACTGAAATGAAAATCAAAAAAGAACAGCATTAATTATGTTTGCAACTGAGAAAAACATGAAGATAGCCCAATTAAAACTAATCATCTATAACAATTTTCAAGTATACTGAATAAATAAAAGAAAAAGAAAGCTAAAAAGAAGAGAAAGTTTCCAAGATGAAAGAGAAAGAAGCTGAGATAAATTAAACCAAATTTCTAATGCAGAAGAAAATAAAAGTAGAGAAAAAACCAATAGAACAGAATATATATAAGCAGAAAAGATGATTAGAAAGACCAAAAAATAGAAGCTTAAATAATAGAAGAAAAAAGTAACAGCCTAAGATATAATATTGAAAATCAAAGGAGATATAGAAGTATAGATAATGAGAAAAAAGTAAGTTTAGAGAAAAAGAAAAATAAAAACAAAACACAATAGTAAGAAAAGAATATATATATAAAAGATATGCTAGATCAAATTTTAGAAAGACTAAAAAAACTAAAGAAAGTAAGAGACCCAATAGGAGAAGGCATAGCTAAATGCTCCTAAAGGTGTCTTAGTTGAATTTATAAATATAGATGAGGAAATAAATGAGTTTTTACAAAATAAAAGAAGAGTTTTTGTAAACAAAAAAAAAAACACATTCTTATTCAAAAGAAAAAAAAAATAAAAAAGTAAAAAAAAAAAAAGAAACAGCAAAGATAGTACAAGAACAATTAAAAAAAATTGAAAAGAAGGATGAAAGGAAATTAAAATAGTATGTCATAATGTTAATGGACTCAAAACCAAAGAATAAAAACTCAATAGTCTGCTAAACTGAGCAGAAGAAGAAAAAATCACAATACTAGGAGTTACAGAAATGAATTTTACAAAAAGAGAAGAAAAATTCTTAATACAGACTATAAATAGAAAATATATAGGATTTTGGTCAAGTGCAGCAAAAGATAAAAAGAAGAGATCTAATATAGGCATTATGGTCAACAAACAATAAGAGAACATATGGGTGCAGTCAAAAAGATAAATGAATATATGATAAAGCTTATACTATACTTTAAGCAATTGGAGTTAGTAGTTATAGAAGTTTATATACCACTGAACAACAAGGCAATAGAAAAAAGTATTCAACAAAAATTAGTAGAAATAGTTATTAAAAAGAAGAGACAAACATAAATATTTATTTTAAATAATTTTAATCATATAGTAAATAATGTTTTAGATAGACAATATTTACAAGCAGCAAATTTCAAAAGATTACTAATCTTTAATTAAATGAAAAAACAGAACTTTAGTAATACTTACAGAGATATGCATCTAACAAGTCAAATAAAGAAGCAGCAACAAAAATTAACTACATATGGATATTAAAAAAACTGGTCTCAGGTCTACAGAAGACAAAAATTGAAGATATAGAAGAGAATTACTAAAAGTGATCATAAGATAGTAAAAACAAAAATATGGATTAAACATATGACAACAAAGAATAGCAAAGCTAAAATCAAAAGAAAAAGACAATTAAGAACAGTATATCTATATGATTAAGCAAAAGAAGAGAACTAAGAAAAGTATATACAAGAACTGCAAAAACAGTTAGAAGTTAAGGAGATGTTAAAGAACATACAAAGAAAAGAACAGAATAAGAAAAAAGAAATAAACAGTATAAACAGCATATAGAATATATTAGAAGAAGCAATCATCATAGCAGCAAATAAGCATTTACCTAAGAAAAAGATATATAATTTAATGATATATAGAAGAAATAATTAAAAAAAGCAATATTAAGAAAAAAACATTGCAGAGCTGCAAAAATTGATTAAATATGCAAAAACAAGAGAAGGCCAAGAAGTAACAAAAGAAGAAAGAATTAAAATGAATAAGAAATTATGAATAATAGAAGGAAAAAAAGATGCAAAACTGCCAAAATTACACAGCCAATAGTTAAGTGCCTAAATAGAAAACATGAAAGATTGGCAGAAACTGTTAAAGAAAAAAAAGAAAAAAGAATAAGATCAAGATTAAAAAAAACAAATAGAAGAAAATATAGATAAAAAATGTGAAATAATTAAAACAAATCAAGAAAAAATAATAGCTAGTCTTTTAAACAAACTCTACAAAAAGATAACACTTAACAGATTTATTAAACAAGAAAAAGAACTAATGAACTTAATAGTAAAACCAGAGTTAGTTAAAATTGGTGTAGCAGAATATTACAAAAAACAATTCAGAATGAGAGACACATAACTAAAAAAAATGTCAGAAAGATGAAAAGAAATTTACAAGTTACAAAAACACATTAAAAAGAAATAGTATATAGAAGTTGAAAAAAATATCAAAGAAAAAGAATAGAAAAAAGTACTAAGTAAACTTAAAACAGAAACAACTTTAGACATATCTGATATAAGCTACACACTAATCAAACAAGTAGAAAAAAAATACAAGAAGTCTTTAAAGCCTTTGCTAATCTTTGTTTGGAAGTAAAAAAAATATCAACCAAGTGAAAAATTGCACAAATTTATCCAATATCAAAGAACATAGAAAAGGAATATAGCTTAAACAATATTTATTTAATAGCTCTGATTAAAACATTTAGAAAAGTAATAACAAAGGTAATAACAAAAAGACTCACCAAACTGTTTATAAAAAGAAAAGTGCTTAGGAATCAAACTATGCAGGCCTATTAGAAAATTCAACAGAATAGCTAGTGCATATTTTAAACATAATAATAAAAGAGGCAAAAGAAAAGAACAAAGAAGTATAGATATTTCAGCAAGATATGAAAAAGACATTTAACTCAGTTCTAGTCAAAAGTCTTAAAATGGCATTGCAAAGAGTTAAAGTTTCTAAAAAAACTGATAAAATACATATTAAATCTTTTTTACAAAAGACAATTAAGAATATTTACAGCCTATGACCTAATAGAAAAAGTAATAGCAGAAAACAGAATGGACCAAAGAGAAGTAATATTATTATTAATATAGCATTTCTTCTATGATCCATTGTTAGAAAGAGTACAAGAAAATGAATATCTAGAATATACAGTTAAACAAAAAATTATAGTATAGGTACATGTAACACTCAGTCATGTACCTATACGTTAATATATAATAATAAACATATAAATACATCTTACTTTCTCATAATTAAATCATATAAAATAATTTCTATGTGATAAAATAGAAATAAAATCGATAAAAATAATCACATAAATTAATAAAAAACAGGAATTTACAAAACTTATAATTCAAAGAGAAATTTTCATTAAAAAGACTTATTTTTTAAATAAAAAATAAAATTTCCTAGTTTCTATGAATTGAACAATATTTTACTTAATGAAAAGAAATGTGTAGAATTTCTTTTTACAAAGGAAATTTTAAAGAAACCAACCGAATTTTTATACTGTGGATACAAAATATTATACTTTATTTCAACACGAAAAATTTTTGAATGTGCAAATTGTACAAAACAGACAACTTCAGTTTTAAAAAAAAACTATTTTTTACAAACATAAATTGAAGTGTAATGAGATTTTATTAATTGTATATCTTTGATTAATCAAAGTAAGATATACAACAATTAAAAAATTTACTGGGCATGATTCATCCACAATAATTAGATTTATAAAATTGTTTAGAAACATAATTGCAAAAAGCTTGGTAAAAGAAAATAGAAAAATAGGTAGAAATAATGTCATAGTAGAAATAGATGAATCAAAATTCAAAAAAAATGAAGACATGTGAATTTTAGGTTTTGTTGAGTGAACAAAACTAAGAAAATGTTTTTTTAAAATGGTTAAAGATCATAATAAAAACACATTACAAAGATTAATTAAAACTCATGTAAAACCAAATTCAATTATTTATAGTGATAGCTAAAGAGCATATAGTGGACTTGAAAAAATGAGTATAGGATTCAAGCATCAACGTGAAAATCACAAAAAACCAAGTAAAAGTTTAACTTTAAAGCAAATTCATACAAATCATATTGAGGGATCATGGTCTGGTATTAAGATGAATATGTTGAAAAGAGATATGGCTAAACACAAACTTGAGTTATATTTAAAGGAATTTATGTGGCGAAGAAAGCATGAAAATAACCTTTGGGAGGGCTTGTTAGAATCAATTAAAAATTATAAAATCCCATAATTTTTTATTTAAATAAATAAATATATAAATGCTTCAAATTCTATATTTTTTATTAAAATTTAAATCATAATGACTAACTGGTCAGAGAAATTCAAGAACTTTGAATACACAATAGATTGGATCAAAATTACAAATCCTGACAAGCCAAAATATAAATTAAACGAGTACAGATGTGTAGTAATCAATTACAAACTGTACTATCAAGTGAAAACTCAAAAACCAAACATCATGTTCTTCATCGATATCAAGAATTTTCATCTCTTACAGAATTACACTTGGCATTGTTATAAAGATAGAAATGCATATTATATTAAAACAAGTGTTAAAAAAAAGGCATTATTACTTCACAGATTAATTAAACCTACATTTAATATAGTTGATCATATTAACAGAAATGGTCTTGATAATCGTGAATGTAATTTAAGAGAAACTACTAAACATAAAAATGCATTAAATTGAAGTTTATGTAATTCAAATACTATAGGATATAACAAAGTATTTTTTTCTAAATCTAATAATTGTTGGATATTTACATGAAGAGAAAATAATAAATATAAAACTAAATGTTTTTTAATTACAAAAAATAGGACTAGTGAACAAGCAAAGCAATTAGCAATCCAATTCAAATTGGAACATGATAAAAAAACTGATAACCGAAACGGCTATTCTGTACTTATTAATATTTATTTAATTAAATATTTTATATAGTCTCAACTTGTATAAATATAGCATATTTGCTAATAAAAAATAAAAAATAAAACAAAATGGTAAACATGTTTAATATCAGAAAAAATAATGAGATTGAAATTAATGTCAACAATTTTGTTGTTAGTTTGACTAATATTTCCCTTGATACTCATGAACTTAATGTAAAAATCTTATTCAAACCTGATAGTACAAATCCTGATGTTGTAATTTATGATGATAATAATAATAATATGTTATCTACACAAAATATGCAAAATTAGTAAAAATTCATTGAAAAATTATTCTTTTAGATATACTATTTATAACTAATTTCTATAAATATAGCATAGTTAAATAAAAAATAAAAAATAAAAAAAATAGCAACCAAAATCGATAACAAAAAAAATCACAATATTGAAATTAGAATCAATACTAAAGAAAAGATTCCTTCATATTTTGTTAAACAAAGTGAAATTAAAATCGAAAATTTCTTTCTAGTTGGGCCAGAAATGAAAGAAGCATCTGAAAAAATTGGATTAGATGTTGAATTTATTCCTGAAATAAATAAATATAAAGTTTCAACACCAAAAAAAATGATTAAAGAAATGTTAAAACACTTTAAGTAATATACTTAAATCTATTTTCATTAATAGTATAATTTTCATCTTTTTTATTTCTAACAAACTGAATTTTTTCAATATTGTTATAAAAAATACTAAACGATGTATTTTCCTTTTCTATCTTAAAATAAGTAACCTTATTCTTATTATAAATAAATTTTTCACACATTTTACCATTAGCTTGACATTTTACTTTCGAATCAATATCTATATATTCATTATTTTTTAAAAAATAAACGGCATAATAAATGTTATTTTCTTTTTTAATTTTTTCAATTCCAACCCAATTTTTATATTGTTTTCATCGAGAAAATAGACACTGCCTCCAATAGTATTAAAAAAAAATGTTCCTTGAAATGTCACTATTAATAAAATTATAAATGTTTTTTTTTAAAAAAAAACAAAAATAAAAAAAAACAAAAGACAATAAAATAAATATTATTACTTGTTAAACTGTTTAAATGCATTGAGAAAGTCTGAACATTTCTGTTTTTTTTTTATTTGTTATTTATAATATAATATTGTAATACAAATAATAATTAAAGTTATAATAAAAAAATTATAAATATCATTGGTTCATGTTTAGTAATATTATATAAAATTATGTTGTAATTACAAATGCCTATAGACTCTTCTTAATCCATTTACCTTTCTGATCGATTACAAATTGCACTATCAAGTAAAAACACAACTAAAACTTCATTACATATGTAGAATATAAAGACAAAAAAACTATTACTGTAATGAAAAATGCTATTAGCACTGAAAAAACATGATAGAAGACATTTAATATTCTTATAATAGAAATATATGAAATATTTATCTTGCAAGTATAAATAAATGTGATAATATAAAATATTACTTTGGACAAGAAAATTTTTTTATATACCTTCGAAGAATAAAAGAATGTTAAACTCAATGGCGAAGATAATAATAATTCTGAAATATAATTTAAATTAAAGACTTATTATTTTTTATTTTTTAAAAATTTTAAAAAATATAGATTTCTTTAATATTTAAACAATATGTACTTTACATTTATAAAATATATTTCGATAACAAAATATTTTAAATTTATTTAATAAATGAGTAATAAATATTGTTCTACTTCATTTAAATTTAATATATGTACAGAAATATTGAGCTTAAATGAAGAAGAACAATGCTGAGACATACTTTTGGCAATAGTAATATCAATTATTTAAAAAAAATCTATTTTATTTTGATCATTTCTATAAATTCTAATAACTGCTTTTGGACTAATTCTAAATGAGCATTAAAAAGTTCTTTTTTAATTTCGATTTCAACTCGAGAACTAAGGATTTGAATATTCATTAAATGAATATTTTGTGTTTGGTATATATAAATACCAAACAAAATTAAAATAATAAATATAATAACAAACAAAATTAATAAACATTTCTTATAAAAAGAAATGTTTTTTTCCAACTTTTTAATTTTGTTTCCCATTTTAGTAAACTCTTGGGAAAGACAATTTCATAAGTATTCAATACCATCTAAACAAAATATAAAATATTTAATAAATTAATAATTTTTTAATAAATAATTTATAAATTACTATCAGAAGAAGCAACTACTTCTTCGGTAATAGTTTCAATTTGTTCTATAAAAGGATTAAATGTAGTTATTTTTGATATAATTGTTGTTAAAATAATTTATCATTGTTGATAAAGTAAATTGTGAAAAATTGTTTGTAAAAATTGTGTAAAAAATATTTACAGTGATCGTGTGAAGAAACAAAGATGTTTAAATACCTGATTCTTGAGACTCATTATAAGAAGAAGGTAAATCATCGTAGATCTCCTGTTGGTTGTTGGGAATTCTGCCAGATGAAGTTCGAAATAAAGACATGTTTGTAACAGAAAATAATTTGAATAGGTGTTAATTTGTAAGTGAAGTATAAACAATTGAAGAATTTAAGTTAAAGTTTAAAGATAACATAAGGAGAATGAAAATCGATTTGGAAATATTAAAGTAGCATTCATATATTCCAAATAAGAATAATCAGAAAGCTGAAAAAATTCTACAGAACGATCAAATTTGAGAATCATTTCTAAATATGGGTTCATCAAATGAGGGTTTATCTGGAAAAATATTTAAACGATGCAAATTTTCTTCTATCGCCAATACAAGTAAAAATGAAAGAACGATGCTATGTTACATCTGCATGCAAATTCTGCCAAGAAAAAAAACTTAAATGCATTGATAAAAGACCTTGTGCTCA